AAAGAAAAAGAGAAATCAATCAAAACCACCCAGAACTAACACAGATGTTAGAATTAGCAGACAACCCTATTAAGACAGTAATTCTAACTGCATTTCATGTGTTCAGAAGTGGTCACATGTGCAATGCAAAAATTATTCAAATAAGACCTCTAAACACAAGAACTGCAGTATACTTTAAAGCACCCATCCAAATGGCAAAACTAGCCGGGAGTGGTGGTGCACGACTGTAATCCCAGCACTTGGGAGGCTGAGGCAGGAGGGTCACTGTGAGTTCGAGACCAGCCTGGGCTACACAGTGAGTTCCAGTCAGTCTCAACTATACAGTGAGACCCTGTCTCAAAAACAAAAAACAAAATAAAAAACAAAAAAACAAAAGACAAATGGCAAAACAGAGTTACAGCTAATATCCCAACAAGGGAAGTAAAATAAAACCAGAAAATACTCAATAAATCCAAAAGGAGGGAGAAAAAAGAAAAAGGAAAAAAAGTACAAATAACAGACAGGACAAATACAAAACAAAAAGATGCTGCAGTTAAACCGACTAGTGCTAATAATAGTATTAAGTGTAAACAGTGTAAAAACCCCAGTTAAATGACAGAGGTATTAATTTGAATTTTTAAAAAATCAAGATGTAACTGTATGCCGCTTAACTACATAAAGCATACTTTGACAACATAGAAATACAGTAAAGCTTTAAAAATAGGAAGAAAATGCTAACACCAGCAAAAGAAACTGAAGGTGGCTTTCTTTTTCTTTCTTTTTTTTTTTTTTTGGTACAAGGGTCCTTGTGCTTGTGAAGCAGGCCACCGAACCGCTGAGCTAAATCCCTGGCCCATGAAGGTGGCTTTCTTAATATGCAATGAATAAGATTTCAGAACAAAGAATATTACCAAGATAGAGGATGATTTTAAGACAGGTGTGGTGTAGGCCTATAATCTTAGCACTTGGGAGGCTGAAGCAGGAGGATCACAGCAAGTTTGAGACTAGTCTAGGCAACACAGTAAGTTAAACACCAGCCCACATAGTAAGAACCCGTCTCAAAAAGAGATTATTTTAGCCAGGCGTGGTAGCACACGCCTGTAATCCCAGAACTCAGGAGGCTGAGGCAGGAGGATCGCTGTGAGTTCGAGACCAGCATGGGCTACATAGTGAGTTCCAGGTCAGTCTCAACTACATAGTGAGACCCTGTCTCAAAAAGATAAAAGCAAAACAAAACAAAAGGACGATTTTATGATAATGTGGTAGGAGCCCCTTGGATATTTCTGTGTGGGAACTTTTCACAATGTAGCGATATCAGCCTCTGCGTACCATGTATAGTTCTGATGTAATTCTGCAATGTAAATCATACCCAACCAGACTGTAGAATGTTAATGTACAACCCAACCAGATTGTGCAATGTTAGTGTGTGCCCATACAAGGGAGACAGAGACACAGAAAAAGTGTGCAACTACATCATGTTTGGCTCTCAGCCTTTGGGTAGGAATCCGCTGAGTTAGTATGGCCTGAGTAAAGCTACTTCCTGGGAGAAAGGCCTTGGTGTCTCATCTTCCTACATGAAAGTCCTGCAGCAATAACGGGGTCAGTTAAGAGGAAAGACAGCAACACTAAATGTTTCGGTACTAAAACAAGATCTTCCAATGAGGCAAATGCTGATGAAACTCCAAAGAGGAATAGAAAAATTCCACATTAATAGAGGCCATTAAGCCCTTCTATCAATAACTGGTACAACTAGCTGGCAATCTGCAAGACTGCAGACCTGAAAAACAATAACTAAGTGTGCCTAATTGACATTTCTGGAGCGTTTGACCAAGGGCAGCAGAATACACTTTCTTCTGAAGTGTACACAGGCCATACGCAAAGGTGGAGGACATTTCAGGCCACAGAACAACTCTTGGTGGATTTAAAAAGGCTTCAGTTCATACAGAGTGTGTTCTCTGGTCGTAACACAAGTAAATTAAAAATAAATAACAGAAAGGTCTCCAAAACACCTAAACATTTGAAAATCCAACTACACCCTTCGAAGTAACAACAGATGAAGACAAATCAAAAAGGACACTTGAAGATATTTTGATGTAAATGAAAACAAACGCTCAGCCTCAGAGTTAGTGAGATTCTAGCTGGTAAAAATGAGTGGGAAAAATGAGTCAATGGATGCATGAACAAATGAACAACCGAAGGAGCAAATAAACAGCATGCAGACTGAAAAGAAGAAAGAAAAGCTAACTTTATTAGTCAATTATTAGTCATTTCTTAAAAAAATCTGAAGAAATCGACCAAAAAAGCTATTAGAAGCAGTGAGTTTAAGAAGGTTGTAGAATATACAGTTGAAACACAAAATGAACTGTATTTCCATACACTAGCAGTAAACATTCAAAACCTGAAAGCAAAAGATGCAACTGACAATTGGGTCGCATGAGGGACAACACTTAGGGACAAAACACCGCCCAGGGACATGGAAAGACCCCTAAATCCGCGCAGTTGTTGCCCTGTCCAGGGGCCTGACGACAGTACTACTAGGCTGTCCATTTTCTCCACATCAGCCTTGGTCTACGCATTCAGGGCACAGCTATTCAAAAGCCCACCGTGTTCTGTGTTTAGAAATCGACAGGCTGACTCTCAGATTCATACGGGAACGCAGAACACAAGAGTAGCCAAGAAAACCGTTGAAGAAGAACAAAGTCAGAAGCCATTCTGGTTTCAAGACCCACTATAAAGCTAGAGTAATCAAAACGATGCGTGATGTGCATAAACGTTGACAGATCAGTGGAACGGAAAAGGGAGTTCTGATGCAAACCAACACATGTACCGACAATCGATTTTTGACAGAGGTGCCACGTAACACAGTAGAGAAAGCACAGCGTTCTCAACTGATGGCGATCGAACAACTCAATACACCTATGCCAAGAAGTGAGCTTTAAACTGAACCTCAGGCCATCTCCACGGACGATGCTTATCATCAGTGTTAGGGAGACGCAAATTAAAACTACGATGAGAAACTGCACATACATTCTACGCGGCAGGATGGCTAAAATGAAAAAGATGAGTCTTATGAAGGGACAGGGATGTGAAAGAACTTGCTGGGTGTGGTGGCGCATGCCTGTAATCCCAGCACTCGGGAGGCTGAGGCAGGAGGATCCCTGTGAGTTCGAGACCAGCCTGGGCTACATAGTGAGTTCCAGGTCAGTCTCACTACATAGTGAGACCCTGTCTCAAAAAACCAAAAAAATAAAAATAAAAAAAAAGAACTAGAACTCTCATACACTGCTGGTAAGAACCTAAAAGTATAACTGCTTTAGAAAGCAGTTTTCTCAGTACCTTAAAGAACTAAACATCTATCTTCCATGTGATCTACCCATTTCCCTCCCAGATATTTACCTAAGAGAAAAACAAAGACAAAACAAACATGCCCATATAAACACTTGCACATCAATGTTCAGAGCAGCTCTATCTGTAATAATCCCCAAGATAATAGGTGCTAAATACCCGTAACAGGTGAAAGACTGTGGACAGAATACACCCAGCAATATGGACTACTGAACACACGACATGGATGAATCTCAAAGTAATTATACTTAAATATCATAAAAAGAGAATGGTCTGTGATTCCAAGCATATGAAACTCTAATGAAACCTAATACGTTATGAGAAAAAAGCACATCTTCGATTATTGAATATATTTATTATCTTGAATGTGGTACTTGTTTCACGGGTATGAAAAAGTCAAAACAGAAAACTGCACTTTTGGTACAGTCAATTACTGTACATTGCAATGGAGCTATTAAAATGTAACAGAATCAACTCTATCCTTGTAGTGTCTTAATATTAAAGTTGTGTGTCTAGAAGGGGTTACCTTTAACAACGACGGGCCTGAAGAGTACGAATGTGGGTCATGTAGGTCCTCCAATCCCCAGCCCACCCTCTTATCTTTCCAAGCCAGGGACCATCCTGCCAGTCAGCCTCAGATTCAGAGAGATGCCCATGGACAACCGTGCAGGCCTGGGGTCTGGACAGGAAATGCTGAGCCCGGGCACTGACACCACAGCTAGCAGAGAGGAGGTTGGCTCTTCTAAAGGACACCTTTTGGCCTATGGCTTGAGAGGATTCTTTTAAAGGGATGGTAGCTTACCAGGTGATGAGAGGACTGACAATGTTTAAAAGTTTTTATGGGAGTGGCACGGTGGCGCATGCCTGTAGTCCCAGCATCTGGGAGGCAGGGGCAGGAGGATCATGAGTTCAAATCCTGCCTAGCAATTTAGCGAGACTCAAAAAGGAGGAGGAAAGAAAGAAGAGGGCGCGGTGCTGAGAATGTAGCTTGGCACAAAGACTCTGGATTTAATTCCCAGTACCACAATAAACAAACATACAAACAAATAAATATAAACTTTTGTGACAGTTTGCCAGAGTTGTAATAATCTAGCACGGCGTGTTAATTGATCTTTACTAATCTGCCCTGATAGAGTGGATAGAAGTAAAGCCTGGTAACACAAAACAATACTGGTCCCTCCCAACAGAGACCTGAGATACCACGCAGAAGGCAGGCAGCTCTGAGCAGCTACTTTCCGGGCTCTAAGGTGGCACAGGTGTGCAGGGATGAAAGGCACAGTGTGAGTCTCAGTAAGGCTGGCTTGGCATTCAAGTAAATGGAAGGCAGGCCTTGATTTAGAAAAGGATTTCTGGCTTAAGAGATTCAGAGCCCGACCTGATCTGCTCCATCCTGCATCTTCCTGGGTTGTGTGTAGATCATCAGCCTGGTGGGAGGTAGGGATCCGGTGGCACGTCATGTACCAGCATTATGCCTCGGAGGAGGCCATCCTTACCGCTCAGAACTGGACAAGAATTACCATTGGTCGGGGGAGGTGGCTGGGGTAGGAACCACCAGCGGGAGAGACGGTGGACTCCTTCTGGATTGCATGTGAGCACACAGGCCAGCCCCTTTGCCACTGCAATTTCTGTCCTGGGGGCAGGGCAGGCACTGAACGAACGGGACAGGGACCCCTTACCTTGTGCACACAGGTCTTTGCATTCAGGAAAAACAGCTCCACCGTGGTTTTCTCCTTTAGAAATGATATGCTTTCGATGTAAAACCTGAAAAACAGTACAGGGGTTTGTTTCTTCCTATTTCTTTCCTTCTGTTGGCACGAATTCATTTCCTCACTTGCTGTTCCCCCCAAACAAGAGAGAAATTTGACGAGCAGGCTTTTGTTTTTCCCTTATGAACATCACGGACATAAATGTGTGAGCGCAAACCTGCAGATACAGGCTCATAGGGAAGGCATCTGTGTGTTGGGAGGTGAGTTAAAGGGCAAATTAAAACGCGCCCAGCTGCTGACCCTCACTTATCTGTGCTACTCATTCCGTGACAAAGGTCCTGCGAGCTTCTAATGCCTCCGAGGGCTTTAGAACAAGTGTAGGTGAGGTGAGACGGGAAAGGTAAGCAGGCTGAGCTCACACAAAATGACAACGTACAGGCCAGACAGTGGCTCAGTGGTTTCTCAGACCTGGGGCCCACATCTCCTCCCTGGGGAGTTTCACACACACACACACACACACACACACACACACACACACACACACACACAC